GATTTAAAACTGCTCCTCAAGGAGTTTTATTTATTCAATTGCTTGGTACACACTATTGAATAATTTTCTCACAAGTGTTTTGTGTATTTTCATGTTAATTACTTAAAATATGTTGACTTTCATTACTTATAGTCTGACAATGATGATACCAAAATATGTTTTTTCTTTATAAAGGTAGTAAAATTCTCAATAACTTTCTGATGAAAGTCTTTTTAAAAAGAGCATGTAGGAAATATAAGATATAATGTGAATTCCAAGATTAAAGGATGTCATTGATGTGTTTTGGTAATGTCTGTCTCTGAGGTAGATATTTCTACTGAATGGGAAAATGATCCCACCAGAAGCAAGAAAATTACCAGCTTCAATTTAACAATATTGAAACTCTTCAACACAGTCTCCCAACAACCTCAGTCGTTCAGTTAAAGTAATTAATGCACATGATTTTTATTCGAAATCACACAAATGAATAATTAAGGAGTGCAGTTGGTCCAAACTTTTCCAAATCTACGCTCCCGTTAGGTTTTCCAGATCATTTCAAGTACACAGGAGCTTTAGTAATATTAAAGGAGATTTCTTAGTAAAAACTTTATACATCTGATAGAGTATCATTATGTTTCATGTTTCATTATTTAAATATTTATATAAAAAATAACCAAACGGGAAATAAATGTGTATATTACTTTCTAGTTGTCCTCCTTACAGCGAAGTAGAAAGCTTTATGTAAATGTCGAGACTATTGCTTTTTTTGCGATATGTCTTGGTAATATTTAACAATAATATTATATAAAACCAATTCCATACAGAAGTATTGATTTCCTAATTAGGTCTTCTTGCGTACAAATTGCGCACCACTTTCTGTGAAAGTGGTATGCGATTCGCCGGTTGGGGTTTCTATCTAAACTTAAATCTAGAAATGTCAGTGCAAATAACTTACCGGCCGCTGCTGTACCGACTGTTGGCACTGAGGGAGGTTCTTTCACGATTCATGGCGACTTCTTGTAGATCAAAATAAATGATCACAAATTGTCGCCTTTCCAATTCATGCAAAACAGACATTAACATTTACATACTTTCTTCCCAAAACGCAAAATATTAATAGAAATACTATATAAACATTATGAATTGTTTTTAGGTGTGAATTATTGTAAAATATTTGAATTTGTAAAATCTCTGGTTAATAATATAGAATGTAATGCCAGTGCTTTATTTTTATATATTTATACTTCGAGGCCCAGCGCAAAAGTCAGGCTTAGAGCTTTTGCAGCCTTAGTGGTTATTTACATTGCGAAATAAATTTAGATGAACTGTAGTTGCCAAACGTTCACGTATGTGTTTTACATTATGTTAATATACAAACACTGTTTTCAAGAACGATTGATTTCTTTATTCGGTCCTTTTCTGTGTCTTAACACATCTCTCCATTTTGTTCAAAATATATACATAAATCGTTAAGATATATCGTGGCCTTCAATTTGTGCACATCAGGTTTGTTTCGTCATCAACATTATCGTGTAAAAATTGCGCATGACTTCCCGCCAACCCTCGTAGATAATTTAAATCAGTTTGGAAAATGATTCAATACTGGACTTAAGAAAATACATGTCTTCTTAATGTTAAATATTTATCTGTTAGCACTCATAAACCACAATATATAAGTAACCAAATTGGTATTTATGAGCCCAGGACCAAACAATTTGTCACCTAATCAAAATTTACCCTCATAACAAAAATGAAAGATAACAAATGGGAGTATTTTTAAGACTATAATTTTGAAAAATAAGATTTATTTGAATAAGAAGAAAAGAACATGTTATGCATGATAGTTTTTCTGTAAGTAAAAATAATACTTTTATGAAATCAATCAATCATGGCTACTGTAATGAAAGAAGAGAGTCTTGTACTAACCTGATATGGCGATAAGTGTCTTTTACGTTTTTTTGGTATTTTTTATTTATTATACCCCTGGGGGAGCATTAGATCATTTTCAGATCATTACCGTCTCCCTGCTAGATGTTAATTTATTAGGGGTATATTGCACTTGTATTCAGGTCTGCTTTACATGTTGAGGTATAATGTTCTTCTGTTTAACATATCCTAGGTTACTGCAAAGAAACTCAACAATGAACATAATAGATGAAGAAATACGAAATTGTTGAGAAGTTTATGGTAACATCTTTATTCGTTCATTACGCTCTGAGGTAGTATGAAAATATTTTCAGTTTCTTGCATACTTCGTATCGAAAAATAGTATGAATAGAATATAACGAAAGTTATGTAACGCTGCAGCAAAAACAGCCATTTTTCGGTAGCAAAAGTTGTAATGTAGATTCCTGATACCGCAAAAGGAGATACTTTTTGTTCCTATGTGTAGCAAATTACTTCCTCTAACTCGTGAAGTCAGCATTCATATTTTGTGGGTTCTTCATTCCGAAAAATTGGTTTATAATAAATCGTATATCCTTCTGTCAACCAGTCCATCAGTCGGCCCCTCTGTTACCAACGCTGGTGGCTAAAATGAAGCAAGATTTTCACCAAAAAGTGATATTCCACAATTGATTTGACTGACAGTGCGACCTCCTGAATTTTAAAGTGATATTTTAATTTCTTTTCGGGGGGTACTTCACAAAGAGCCTCAAAGACATATTCAGTTTTTTCTCAAAACAGACTACAAATTGCTTTATAAAAATTTGTCCTCAAGTAGCGTAAAACGTTTAAAAAACTGGCTTATCTCTTTGGTTGAAATACTACAATTTTCAACACTTGCATAAGTTCTATTTTTTGGCTGTTTTTCTTTCTCCCCCAACAAAATATTTGCTAGGGGCCGAGACTACTAGTTCGGAATTTCTCTTGACATCTCGTAGAGCGAGACGCGGGGAAAGGCGTGGCCACTGGCAGCATGGAGCTATGAATACGTACATCCATGGACCACCGTAGATAATGAGTCATGGGAGAGAAAGCTATTATCCGCGCACTTTTCCTTGAGACCTCGTTTCGCTAGATGCGAAAGGAGTAGGGAGTTTGGTTATTTTGAAAAAAGGAATTTTACGCCAAGATTTCGTTTCCATTTTTTGATGCAAAATTGTGTTTAATACACGTGAGAGAACATTTCTCGTTGCCAGATTTTGTCTACAACACTCGTTGCTCTCATTTATTCGTAATTCAACTAATGTTGGGAAAGGAGTGGGAATTGATATTCCGGGGCTCTAGAAAACATTCGTATACAATATTGCCTACGTTACATCAGACGGCTGTTGGCAACTGTAGCATTATTCACACTATTCGCGCCTCTTTCGCTCTTAATATAACAGGACATTATAGATGATAAATAAGAACGAATAATTAAGTAATTAATAGGAATCACAAGTGAAAAATTTAGTGAATAATATTGCTTATTAATGAGATTGGTCATTAGTGTACTTACTTCGTCTTCTTCTGAATAATAAGAATAATTGCTTGAATTCTCAATTATATTTACTATGATGTCATTAACTGCGATTTCTATTATACCGTCTTTTTCTCAGTATTCTTGTTTATTTACGTGGTACAAACAGCAAATTAAAACGCACGGCACAGAGGGGAAGATCGAAACCGCACAAACTAAATTAACTGCACAAACTAAATTTGATTCTGCAGACTACTAGTTTATTAAATGGTCTAGAGGGACGTGGATACTAGCTATAAAACAAGAACTGACAAGTGCATCGAGATGTCTGATGTATGAAGCATATACGCTAATAACTTACCCACAACGCCAATTTTTGGTGATCCACCGACGAGACGATAAAAGCCGTAATAAATTCAAGTTTATTCAATGCACGAAAGCAATAATGGGGGTGGTTACATAATTCTCAAAATTGCTGGTACACTACAGTAAATACTGTAAAGTTAGTTAAAATAAGTAACACAATTAGGATTGTAGTACGGCCACGACCCCAAAACATAATTCTCATGATAGTTGTCAGGGAAGGAATAAAAACAACATAAAATTTTCACAGAATTGAATACATTTCAGTAACAATTTCAGAACATTCTTGAAATTCTACAAAAAACAAATGCTTTATATAATCAAAATAGAAAAGGAAATAGCGCGCTAATATGTTTTTTCGATCTGCACCATCCAAATTCTAGATGTTTAATATTTTGAAAAAATCTAAATTTACATCTGACACTAATGTTTTTAGAGGAAGCAATGTGTTTTTCAATTTGTTACAGTTCTTTTTCTTCTGTAACAAAACTCTGACATATATCTTAAATACTTTAAGTAATTAAGATTTTAGCGTTCTGTTGCACGTAATTTGGCTTGGGCGCAATAACATTTTTAACATTTTCCATTCAATATTAATATTTATCATAACTTTTAACTAACAGGGTTATTTGAACATGATTAATTGCGAAAAAAAATCCTAATATAGATGAGGACATATAAGTCTTCAATGCACTAGAATGGTAAAAATTGTTTTAAAAATTATTGTATAAAACATTAGCGAGGGATTAGTGATGGGTTATCTTAATCACTAGCCCAACACGCATTTTAATATTTTTATTAATTTAAACACAAAATCTGAAAATGTAAGTGTCGTAAGTTCAGAAAAGTAATCTGATGTGGACTGAGAGATCAGTCGAGATTGACAACTTATGCAATATTTAATAGACATCCTTTTACAAAATTGTATGTATTAAACAAATGATTAAAAGGTTTTTTAACTATTTCATGCTCTGTAGAAATAAATATGGAAATAAATTGAAGAATAAATGTTGTAGAGACTCTTTGACATATTTCAAAGCTTTTGAATACAATTTGGAACTTTATTTACGAAATGAAAAACTGAAAATAATTGTTGAACGAAGAAGCAATAATGCAAGACTTCACGTAAAAGAAGAAAATTCATTAAAAAACAGATGGAAATAATTATCAAGACTACTTCAAACCGTTTACATATATGATCAGTACGAACATTTCAATGGTACATGAATATATATTTTGTCACTTAATAGAATAATCACAGATATTGCATTTTTATGAGATCTTCTGTAAGGCTCACTAACGCACGTGTAGCTTCTTCACCTCCAAGACGGAGAGATAACTCAATATTTTCTGGAGCCAGTTGCTCCTCCCAGCTTAATTTCACTAGTTCACTGAGATCCGCAGGGTCTGCAAACATCACTGGTAAAAACATGACAGTTATTATATATCCATAGACAGCACGTTTTTTGAACTCTTCAATGAAAGCCTCAAAGCTGTAACACGGATCAAGTTCACCTTCAGGTTTCCCCAGCAGTGCCGCCAATGTCTTCCTGAGCGACGTGTGATACACCTTCAACAGCTCGTGGAAATGTTTCTCCCGCAGCTCGTGAGTGGAGTTCATGCACGCAGTAGCGGAGAGGTCGATAGCTGGCGAGGCGTACGGATCGTCTGGAAGTCGATGAAGCTTCATCTCACGGGTTTTCCGTCTTCGTACCTGAAGAGCACGTTGTTCCTGAGGAAGTCGCCAATGGCACAGCACGGCCAGTGGTTCCTGAGGCGTCACCAGATCGGTCAAAAGGTCGTAGGTCTTTCTTTCCAAAATTTTGAGAAGTCTTTGTTACATAAGGATTGTCCATTGGAATGCGTCCTTCTAAGGCGTTGAGAACACGGTTTTGAGAGATTTTTAGCCCGTTATTACTGATTTCTACGTTTTGAGGCGTGTATGTTGTCTCTCGAATAGGTTCTCGATGACATTTCTAAACTTATCAGGGTCTTGTTCTTTTAAGTAATACGAAAATGCGGTGAAACGTTCCAAGCGATTGAACAGCAAGGCCAAATGATCAAAATCCAACGAAGTACGATTTCCCAGCTGAAATCCTGAACCTTTAAGTTTCCATTACGAGTACTGCATCTTCAAAGATTGAGGTTCTTTCTCGTTATAATGACTATAGATACATGTTGGAAACATGTTATCAAAGCTGATTTCAAGTGCGAAGAGATGTTTGAGAAGAAAACAATGGCTTTACGGAGGAATAAAAATGTATCTCATTAAAAAACTGTTTCTCAGACTGCATTGTTTTACGTGTAATTTCATCTTCACTCATTAATTTCAAAAATAGCGAAATGTTTTTGTCCTCTCTTCACGACTGAGAAGAAAATTAATTTGTACATTTCGGATGCAAAGTTGTCCTTCATAGTTTCCAATGCTTTCACTTCAAGTTCCGCAACACAGAGCTCATTGAAAAACATCGCTCTTCAGTAGACGAGGCACAAGTACACTCCGAATCCACTTTTCATGGTTATCTGAAGTCATTATACAAAACCTTTGTTCGAGTTGTGTCCGAAATGCACATAAGAACGTAAGCTAGTCTAGTCTTGAGTCTTCTCCACTGACACTGTAAACTAATATGATCGGCGACGAGAGCTCGATACTGAACGAAGCAACTCATCACTTATCACAAACAAGTAGACACAAGTGTTGCATACTCCTCCAATCTTATCGGCTCTTCAAATAAGTGACGTAGGATGGTGTCAAGATTCTTCTTTAGGAACGAACAGTAAGTTTACATCAGTTCACGTCACCGACGATAAGAGTCACAGCGATTGACACACTAGGCACTGGTTTAGAAGAAATTCAATCAAACAGAATGTAGAGTATAAATACTCGTACTACACGAATTATAGCGGTTATTATCTACGCATATGGACAGATTTTAAAATCATGAATTGTTACTCAAAATACCATTTACAACAATCATTCGAATTCAAAGAAACTGAAACGTATATTTAAAAATGAGTTTTCTCTAGAATTATGAAACGAGCGCACATGTTTATTGTCAGCCGCGCTTAAAAATGTGCGTTCTGTGTTTTTATATCTTCCCTTTTGTGAAAAATATAAGATTATTCGATACCACTCACACCCTGTGTAGAGATTGTCAGATGTATCCGATTAATCAGGCTTCCTCTTATAAATATTCTCCCTGATTTTAAACCTACCTTGTCATTTCTACATTACAAATTTTGCCTTTCATCATTTCTTCTTTGCGAGCACTGTTTTCTTCCTTTGTGACGTCCCCCACTCTGTGGAAATCGATGTAAGGTGATCTGACACGGGTCGATATGTTTGATAATTTCTTATTTTCGTTCGCATCAAGTGCTAAGGCCATTAATACTGTAAGTGTAGTGCACGTTTTTATCACGGGAGGTGGGAGTGTTCTTTCCCCGCTGGATGGCGAGATCTGACAGTCCTACAGTCAGGTTGCGACGTTTTCCCTATCAAAGTATATCCCACCATCACTGACATACTCTAAGCCCCTGATCTCGAAACTTTTTAGAGTTGAAGGAAAGGTGGTTGAATTGTGACACACACGTCGTGGTACGTGGTCCCATCAACAGCGCTTTTCTCTTGCAGACCGCAGACAGACTACAAATACTTTACCATCACCCTACGTACTTTATATCTAGAAAGAGTTGTCTGATCGGAAGTTTTTCGCAGTTTTACCGATCAACACCTGGCGAAAGCCGACACCCTAACGAACGAGCCACGGAACACGTGCGATCTCTTCCTCCCCTTTCTTGCCCTACCCCCTACACACTTACATGCAGAACATTACCACACACACACCTACATGCACTATATTACCACACAGGCTGGGAGACTGTTTGCGGCGATGCCACTTTGGTGGGAGAGGTCTGTTTGGGGCAAACGCCACTTCCAGACGAATACGTCGGCGCCGGATCTCAGCACCCAGTGGGTGACAGCCTCTTCTCGCGATAAAATCAAGCATTACACTTACGGGACTAATGACCTTAGCGGGTGACTCACCCTGAATCACTAATCATTCAATCCAGGGAGAGGGGAAAGGATGAGACGATTTCTTTTGGTGATTCATGGCGTTTTGGAAAACCCTCGACCACGCCATTTCACAGAAACATTCACCGGGTACGTTGGCTCAGGGCATCAACTATTGTAATTGCAGTGCCTCTTTCAGGGAGGTCGTAGGTTTGAGACCTTACCTTGCCATGATTTTCGACACTAGGTTTTCAGCTAGGTCGAATTCAGACGTTGCCTTGAGGAGAATTCTAGCTGCCGGCTGCTCCGAGTTTTCGTGATTTCTCCGATCAACACCAGGCGAATGCCGGAACTAACAAACTGGCCACGGACCACGCACGAACTCTCGTACCTCTTGCTTGCTCTATTCTCACACAATGACATGCATTGCACTACCACACATGACGGAAGACCGAAAAGAAGCTTAGAACTTGTCCAGGCTGGGGTGGTGCTCCGGTGGTGGGAGATACCTGGTAGGAGGAAACCCAGCTAGCCGCGGTAGGTCGGAGCCGAATATGCCATACAGCGTGCGATTACCACAGTCATCTCCCGAGCAAAAACATGCTCTACTCTTACGGGACCAGCGACGTTTGTAGTTGATGCGCCCAGAATCACGAACAATCGATCAATCAGCTATCATTCACGCCCGATGAAGAAAACACTCGACCATTGGAATCGAGACGGCGCGACCATCTTAGCGATTTCGTCTTCCCAGGTCGAGTTTCATCAATAAATAATTATTCTCGAAAACTATTTTGGCAGCTGCGCGCGTTTTGTCGCCCTTCCCGCCAAGCACATGCGCGTCTTACCCGTTCGCTCTCTGCCACCCGTGTGCGCCCTTGAGGCTGGGGAAATCTCAACGATCGATTTTTTATTGATTAGTTTGTTCCGGGCGCACCAACTTTTAAAGTCGTTAATACCGAAAGTATGGTGGGTGCTTTGCTCGGAACTTGAACGTTCTTTGCTAGGTAGTTAGATTCGGCGCCAGCCAAACTGTCGGGCAACGAGAATTTCCCCAAACAGGTACTATCTCCCACGAGCGGGGCACCGCCCCAGCCGGGCCAAGCTCTTACCTTCCGAATGGTCTCCCGGCATGTGTGCTAGTGTAGTTCATATGTGCGTAAGAAAAAGGAGAGGATTGGGCAAGGAAGGGGACTGAACGATCGCGCGCGGTCCGTTGCCCGTTTGTAACGGTACTGCTCCGGTATCCGTCACTAGAATTCTATTCCAGACAGCGGCTGAATTCGACCTAGTAATCCAGCTTAGTGTCAAAGATCTTTCGACCGTGGAGACTCGACCCTAGGGCCTACCGGTCAAAGGCACTGCAGTGACCCCAGTTATGCCCTGAGCCACCTCTCCTGATTCGCAATGGTGGAGTTCATTACATGAAGGAATACGTTTTTCAACAATTGGGAGAATAAATTCGAGAAAAACACGAAACAAAAAATACGCCGCTGGAAGTCATGCCAGTAAACGTAAGATGTAGTGTTTAATTATTCAATATCTTCAATAAATTTCCACCATATATTGTGACTTTAAGTGACACGTGGATAGCTTTTACGTGGTCAGTGTGTTGCTTACAACCCCCGTTCTCAAGATGTTTAACATCCCGTTTGCTCTTCAGTGTTGTTTCATCACATCATCTATCTTATCTCTGAAGTTTCCTCACATCCAGTGATAATTGAGATGATCCAAAGAAGAACACAAAGCCGATACAACTCACGATGATTGTGATTTTTAGGTCAGATAAGATACTCCACTTCAAAATTAACACAACAAATGTTCACTCAAAATGTGTTCAACACTCTGTGAATTGAAAAATGAATTGATTTCAAAAACTGATAGCATCATCTTTTCTTAACTTTGTTGCATAAGTTAAAACAAAATAACATTTACATAGCTACTTTCATGATGACTTGGATACTACTCAAGTTAAAACAACAGTTTATTTATACACAAAGAGCTTTTTTTCTGAGTACGTTTTGTCATTCGATATCATTCAATTGATTCACATTTATTTACTAATTTTAATAGACGTATCTGTAATGTAACTCTAACTCTGTACTATCTTGAATTTCATATTTTAATATTTCCCTCTCATACGTCTCTCCACAAGCAAATAGTTTGTAGCGTCATTCAACGAGTTTCATATTTACCTCATAATCGGAATCGCCTTGATCCAGGTACTTTGTGCAGCGTATATTAATCTCTGTATTGAAGAAAATAACAATAACACATCACTAAAAACTAAACCGTTGAATCCTTCCTTCCTAGCGAATAAAACAGAAGAGAAGTATTGGAATCACTTCAATAATATCTCGAATATCGGTCACTAAATTAGTGTTTAATGTTATTTTAGCTGTAACGTCTTCATCTGTAACATACTCGGGATTAGTGGTGTTTCTAAAGTAGATACGATTGGTGCAAATACAGAGAAGGAACATGCAATTTTATTCCAGAACATCGATTTGTATATATGGATGAAAGATTGTGACACTCATAACTGTGCGACTAGAAGCTTTTGAATTGAAACTTAATAAATACTCAGGAGAAAAAAGTAGTTGTGCCGTTCCACAGATCAGTATTTAATTCGGAGGGATTTACATAAAGCCCCTATAACATTTTCAACATTGATCAGTGTGATATGGTTTCGATTTTCTTTAAAACCTCTGACATTCAGAAAATTTCAAAATATTTGTATTTAAAACATTAAACATTTTTCGAAGATGGAAGAAAGAACTTAAAAATCTCCACTGACCCACATTTCGTTATTTTGATTTCAAATGAATGGGAGTGTGACCGGGACGTTTTATCGCTTGCCATTGCTTGCCAGTTTGATAAAATAAACCATAATTATACCATAACACTTGTTAATTTTAATAAAAATATACAAGTATTAAAATGAAAACTTATCTGACATAATTTGTTTATTATTTCATTGTGTGAGATGTAATTAATCTATTGCAAGCATTCGACGTTTCTTCTTCAAGAAAACATATTAGAGTAAGGTGGTAGTAAAAGAAACTAATATTATGAGTTGTGTTTACACAGCCGCATTCGAAGTTGGCGCGCGCGCACGAGTCGGCACGTGCTCTGTTCTTACAAGCGCAAGGCAGCAGGAAGCTAACCGCTTCAACAAGCAGCGAGCTGCGGGACCGAGTCTTGGACAGCCCGGGGCACGGATATATAACGTCCGGTTCAGCACGCGGGTAAAACAGAAGTTATTGAGACCGAGCTACGATGAAAAAGCGTGTGGTTCAGTGACAGTTCCGTAGACCGCGCCTAAATTTTGTGATAATTCCTCGATATACTGTGAAGTATCTACGAGAGGTACACCTTCTGGCGGTACGAAACTTGGCAACGAACTAGGTACATTCTTACGGCAAGTGGAACTTCGGCATTTCTGTTTATATTCTCGTGAAGAGATTGTTTTTTAAATTGTAAAACTGAATTAACTATTTTAAATCGTAATATCAGCCTACACCTTCTTTAATAAATTTCAAGTCGTACATTGGAAGAGTGTTTTTAAATACAAATAGTTATGAGTGTATGTAATCGCAATATCCTGCAATAGTCTCGTGTAAGTTTTTGCAAAAAAAGATTTAATTGTAATGTATTGTAATGTTACGAAGTTTTGGTTCCCGACCATTTAATGGAGTTAAGTTTAATGATTACAAAATTTACAATGTTCCTATTTTTTTCTCCTCAAAAACGTAGTAAGTACTCCTATTTTACAACATATTTTACCTGAAAAAGTGCTAAAAGGCGAAAATAACTATTTATGTCTCTCTTGTTTGGCGATGAAAATTATGCCATTTTCTTATCGACTTTATTTTGGTGCACTTTAACATCAACTGTATATTACCAATTTCCAATTGAGAGTGAAATAAAAATACGCAGATTCTGGCCACTTGAGATGTGCCTATAATTTGTTAGATACTCTAAAATTCAGGTCAATTCAAAACCTCCGAAGAGTTTATATTTTCACAGAAAAATATAAAATATTCGATTGGGCCGTATTTTTGTAATACTGAACGTACCTGCTAAATTCTCGCAGCGTTGCTACTTTCAAAATACAGCTGACGCGAATTGATTGCAAGGCTGTGAGGAGAAGGCTGCAATAAGACGGTCTCCCGCAGTTAAATAATTTACATGAACGTGTTACATTATGGAACAGATTTTTTATATATCCCTGGTTGGTGTAAAGAACTATTGTACTGTTTCTAGTAAACTATGTTATTGTAGTATTCCCGATGACAATTTAACACCTTTCACATATCGCAATGTTATACGAAAATTTTTGATTTGTTCAACAGTGTGACCATACTTTTCGGAAAATCATTTAGTGTTTTTCTTCAGCATAATTTTTACTGATTCCTATAATAATTATAGTAAATTATATCAATAAAATTATAACCAAGACCATCGTTTAGGTTAGTGTAATACAATATTCTAATTAATGTTGTAGGGCTGAGAAGATTTATGATCATTGTAGCCGTGTAAACAGCTTTTATTAAACGATATTCAGATGTATAGACGCATCGTAATTCGCAATACTTTCGAGCATGCTCATGTCGTAGTTGCGTTAGAAGCAGCGTGGTCTTGCGGCCTCGCATGTGCTCCGATGCGTACCCTCATGCCACATGATTTCCTAGCGGACAACCCCGGGATGTCAAGGGTCCACGACGAGCAGTGTCCCCAGTAATTTGTGAATGAATAATGAAACGGCAATGTTCTTCACGACCACTGGTCCAAAATGTTCACAAATAATGTCAATGATCGTTATTAAATACACTGCGATCTCTTCACACGCAAGAAAACTGCTTATTTGCTTCCTTATTTGCTGGCTTATATAAGCAAGCTTAATATTTTCGCAAATATCTTTTCACACTAATCCTTGGAAGTTGTAGCACAGCACAGATTACCTTCAGGGTTATTAAGATAAGATATTTATTTAACACTTAAAGAGACAATTGTCTTCTCATAGTAAATAATTATTAACATACATTCTTAATGTTTCTCAACGTTAATAAAATATGTAGCCCTTACCTTGGCTACCTGACAATTCAGTTTATTCTCCAAATTCGACACTGAAAGAAAACGCTCACAAGTAGCACAAACGACTGTTTTTGGTGGTCTGGATGGCCGAGATCGTGAAGCAATGAGGCCGTAGCGATCTCGGAACGAAGGATCGCAGGTTTTGAGTTCCGCCTTGGGCATGTTTGCATTTGTGTTCGTTCTTTCACCCCCTATCAACACCATGTTATGTTATCCTAAAACATTTGAATTTCCTCCCACGCAATGATTCTCAGAGTAGAAGGCACCGAGGAGAAAAAAAATAGCCGAAATTTCTACGTGGCAATTGAATAAATACCTCATTCACGTATTCATACTTTACACTAGTTCATTATTGAGTTGATTTTGAATTGATAATTTTTTCAATTTCTAGATTTTTTCTTGTGCGTTTTATTGCATTTTACATATCGATGGCTTACTGCACAAACATTGTATGTCCACACAGGGTTACTTGAGAGTTATATTTTTTGGAAATTTCTCGTTCATATCTACCTAGTATACAAAGGTTTTATGTCCATATAAGATGAATCAGTCTTTTCCCACAAAGAAACTTTTGACGTTCCATAAGTAACTGTTCCATTACAAACTTTAAAAATAGTATTTTCTCAGAACATGTTGAACATACAATATGTGTATGAAGTCATCGATATCTCTACTGACAGCTTCTTGAAAAATCAATTTGGTTTCAATACTTTATTTTTATTTTACATTATTTTTCACTTTTTATGATGGTAAGAGATGCATTTACAAATTAGCCGAGATGTTAAAGACCATCCTCTCTGTTTGCAGCATCGCTTTTGCGCCGTTTCAGTATAAAAAACATGACAAACTAATGGGAAGAAAAAATACAAATTAATTAATAAATGCATTTCATTATAAACCATATATGATAAAAGAATGTTATACATAGAAGAAGGGAACTAGATGTTAACGGGAACTAATAACTAATTAATCCTTTTAGAGAAATTATTTTTACCAACAATTATATTTATATACAAAAACCTTCTGTCTTTGCAAATGAGATTCCTTTCATTACTCGATCGAAATTCACATATAAATTCGATTGCGGTGAAAAGTTGTATTCGGATCAAATAATTTTTGTTTTTATGTCCTCAAATTTACGCACCAATTTCATGGAATCAAAATTTTTAGATGTCCTGTCACTCTACATTGATCTCAATTATCTTATATTCTATCACTATTATGATCATTAGGTTTCGTATTCCTATTTACCATTGGAGGATGAACAGGTTTTGTCTTGCAATTCATCAATTGATATTATTCTACATGATACACATTATGTAGTAGATGGCTTCCATTATGTTTTATCAATAGTAATGGTGAAGATGTTAGAAAAGATTCTCCAAATCTCAAAATGATATCTGAGGTCAAATTGTGAATAACATTTTAACTGGCATAAATAGGGTAACGGTACCCCCAGTAGTTGCCATTGCGTCAGTTGTATTTTAAACCCAAAGTGTGTAACATGATAACTTATGCTTCACACTTGTAGAACATGAAACTTAAGTCTTCGCGTGCCGGGATTAAATCGAAGATAATTGTGAAAAATTTTGGAATTCTGTCTTGATTTTGTAATGTTCCTTTCAAACTCTCTCTACATCCATTCATATGATACTATACTGAGATAAACGTTTATATTAAGATACGTTCCGTTGTGATTTGTGTACATTAGTTTATTTAATTCTCCTGTTAAAATCTGATCCTCTGCCCATTGTTTAAAATATGTATTAATTATTTGTTTTGACATTACGCTTTATGGTGGAAATAATGAGTTTCTGAAACGTTATTATGTAACACATGTAACATTGATAAGCAGCAAATATTTAAATCTGTCTTGAAATTAAGTTACAAGTACAGTCTAACGAAAAATATTCATTTGTATATCAACTTCAGTAATTATGTAAATAACATCTGAAAACTATTTGTATACTATCTGTAATGTTGGAAATAATGTAGAAAACATTCTTTTCTCTAAATGTATTCATATTTGGTTTCTTTACTCCTTTCCTCACATTATTAATGTCATCCATATATTTTCAAAGAGGGAAACACAAAGCTATGAAGTACCATTGCATACTGTTACTGACATTAAGTCTAAATTAGTGTTTAAAAAAATTACCTTTAATGTATTTCAAGTCAGAGAAATGTTTTTCGATTTGATACCATACAGACGTTACTTACTCGTATATTCCGGTACTAGTACTTGTAAGCCCAGAGTCCTCCAGGACCAACTGGCATGTAATTCCTGTTCCTGCTTTCGTACTGGAACCTGTTGTTTTAAATCGAAAAATTAATTAGTTACTTTATTTTCACTTTTCTATGATGTATTCTTTTGATTACATTAAATGAAATCGCAGATTTTACATGGCAAGAATGATGAAATTGATTCATAAATCTCATTTTAATAACACTATTTAATGAGGTTGGAGAAATGATTTGTTGTTAGTTTATCGTATAACTTGTTACGTCATTGATATAATTGAAGATAATAGGTAAAAAAACACAATTTTACACTTGAAAGAATGTTTGTATGATATATTTCATCAAATACATCAGCGAATCCATTGCCATAAGTAAGAATACGACTTATGCCAACGGATATAGCATATAGAATTTCATGATTATTAATGCTTATGTCTACATTAGTATGATTAAATTTTAACTATTTCCCAATCAAAAAAGTAAGTTCGGTGTGTTTTTTGAATAATTTTTTTTGATATCCAATACGTATAATATTTAAGGAAATTATTGGGGGGGGGGGAAATGTTGAAAATTCAAGATCCGTGGCACCATTATATATAATTAGAACAACCACTTTTTTCCATCTCAAGTTGTTTTATAATTCGTGCTACTCCAAAGCATTAATCGACTTTTGTAATCTCAAAAATCGAAAAAAGTTCTAACTTTGCTGAAGATTGATGTTCTTTGGTGTGTGTGTGTGTGTGTGTTCATACTTTTTCCCAAATAATTGGTATTCATTTAAAATAAAATTGCTTTTCAACTCGCATCTTGTATTTTGTATATTGTATCTTCAAAAATATTCTAGGAATAAATGTTATTGATGATAAGTATCGAACCTATCCTAATAACTAAAATAAGACAAATTTTAACATACCCAACTGGATAGTAAGTCTTCTTACGGTTATCCATAACTGCTCTACTGACTCGCTCCATTGCTACTCTGCTAAGGAGCTATTGGTGCTTCTTTCTGTGGAGTGAAGCAGTAAAATTGTTACATTTACTAATTTTATAATTTATATAACTAATGATTTTATTTTCTATAATTTTTTATTTATTTTTGTTTTTTTATTCTATATTTTATTTTATGTATTTTTTATTTATATATTTTATTTTTATTATATTTTATATATTAAAATATATTAATTAATAATAATAATAAATTTAAATATATAATATATATTATATATTTATTTATTTATATTTATTTTATCTATATATTTATAACTAATGATTATATATTATATAAAATTAAATATTGTTATATACTTTGAGTTTTATAGTTTATATACATTTTATATAAATTATGAAACTGGCAAAAGTTTTCTAGCGTTAGGATTTTTATTTATTAAAAAATTTGAATTAACTCTATAGTGAAGAATGGATGTATTTAGTGTATTTACATCCTTGCACTATCCCTCCCGTTGTAGAACACAGTAAAATATTTCTTTTATAAAAGTGTGTTGTTAGATTGTACTAAAGTAACATCACAATTTTACTTGCCTCGCAACTTTAGTATAAAATGCAGCGTCCAAAGTTGCTTTAAGATAAGGAACCAAGTAAGGCGAGCTTCGGGCGTCATAGATGAACCTTGAAACAAAGTAAGAAAGCGCAGTGAGTAAAGTGGGGTTTCACTAACAGACAGAAATATACCAAGTAGCAATGGGAATTATTGTGCATTGACATAGTAGATAGATCTTTTACTTTCTTGTATATGTAGTGTAGAGAAAACAATGTAATGTTGCAAACAGAAATTGATGTCGACTCTGTTAGTTTGCTTGTCCGTCCATATATCCATGCGTGTGTCTGTGAACGGTCTTCCGGCCAAAACCTTACAGAGAATTTTGACAAAAATGGATGTTCAATTCATCTTGCGGATGCTACAGTTACTTGAATTTGAAGTTGGTCAATTAAGTATTGAGTTAACTTAAATAAAGCTTGTACATTTTCAAGATGTTCTCAAACATTTCTTCAATTTTTTCTTCGGTTTTTATATAAAATTGAAAAAACAATTAAATCTTCCATTCTGACTACATGAATACACTGTTATCATGGAAACATTTTCCAATTAGCGGAATGACGAACAGTGATTTGTAGCAAAACAGCTCGACTACAAATTATCCAACGAATGTCAATAATTTTTACGTGTTACTTATCACCCACGCTCAAAAGTATGTTTTGGCCAGTGAGTGTCAGAAAAACATGCATATGGCATAATATACAATGCACGGAGTTACATAATGCACATAAAGCAGAGCTGTCCTTACGTAATATCAATACAGTTTCGAATAGTTTTGAATATCACCATTCCAAATCTCAAGTTTTAAACGGAAGGTCCTAAAATTATGAATCACAGGCCCATATTCCAGTATGTCTACAAATATCCTTAATTTGCGGCAAGTATGCTTAATTTACAGTACAAGTCGCATATACTGGGAGGTCAAAAATCTTACTATCACTGTCTTCAGATTATTAAAACATAAGATATGATTACCATTAAATAACAAAACAAAATCTCTGAACATTCGGCGGTGGATCGGGATACTAGCAACATCGTACTAATATACTGTGTTTGCATGTGCCTTCGCTAGTGATTCTAATATTTTATTTGGTGAACCTATAAACCAAATTGGTATATAGTCTCTTTTTCTGTGTGTAGCTGTTAATTGAGAAAGTGGGAACTCGTGTCAAAAAGGATACACCGAACAAGAAGGAAAAAACAACCTCGAACACCCAACAACAACAACAACAACAACAACAACAACAACAACAACAACACTGAATCCAATCTGAAATCGTAAGCTGTAGTAGCAAGAACGGACATCTTCCCGTCAAAGGACCAAATAATTGTAGAAGCCCACGAAGGACTACATGTACAACTAAATCGACTTTTTGAATATTTTCAATAATCTATCACAAGGTCTCAGTCGTGGATCATTTATTGATTTGATTTAAAAAAGAATAAAGTCTGAGTATAAAATTTGCTAAGATTTTTTTCCTTTTCATACTTTGTAAAATATTTATTCAATTTACTTAAGACTTAACGGAAGGGAATCTATGATGCAAAAAGTAATTTTTTCAAATTCTTGATTTCTCAACACAATTGCGAATGTCATAGACGTTCATTATATTAGAATTCCTTCCTTTAATAATAAAAAATGTCAACGCGTAATTTGCACCAGCTGTTTCGTAGTTGAGTGGTCACATGAGCGCATTCAATATAGTTTGCATAAGGGTGTCAAATTTGACTTGTGTGGTTTTGAGATGGAAATAAGACACGTAAAAAGAAAACCAAATAATAAGTATAAACTGTGTTTTCTAAAATTCACCATGTATAAATACAAACTCAGCTTATTATTCTTTTCATCCTTTAATCTTTTTAACTTTCTGAATTTCAAACAAGAAACAATCACCTTAAGCTGATTTCAAGACAACCCAGATTGCTATGACGTTTGTGCTACCTCAAAAAGTGAACGGAAATAATGACAATATTTGTATTTGCATTTTTTCTATATTATGTAGAAAGTATTTTTAGAACATTTAATAAATTTTTTGCTTAGTGAATTTAAAATATTTCAAATATTAATTTTTCACGTTTTACTACCATTATCTCTTACTAACAGTTGCATGTTTAACTTTTGCTACAAAAAGATATCTTGTGGATTTCTTTCCTTCCTACTCGTATCTCTTCTTTTCTTAACGAGTGTATTATCACAACATTCCTCCACATATATCCTACATATGTGTAAGTAAGTCCATATCGCGAAATAAATTTATAATTTTTTGATCCGAGAAACTTCTTTCATTTGATGATCAATTAGAAGTATTAAGCATTGATTTGTTTGTGATCCTAAGGCTAACACGTGGTTTACACTTCGATTTATACTTTTGGTATACACTTCGAAAGACACTCTTGTGTATTCATTTTGAATAGGTATATCTTGTCCTCAAAATGTAGGCGCACACATTTATTTCACTACGTTTCGAAATGTCATATTTGTTTGTAACGTACATAAAACATTTGGCGAAAAGTGTATCAATTAAAATGAGGCTATTAAACAGTATTAAATTACTCAATAGGATCAAAATTATATTGGAAGATTACCTGCGAATTTTCTTAACTACTATAATACGTAAGTACATAATGCGCATTGATACTCACTCCTTTTGAACTGCTTTCAACCCGCATACATCTCATTTTTGCTGATTTATGATTCTAATAAATAATATTTCTGATAGTTTTGTAGAGACGGCCTAACAATGAGTTAAACAATCTGGTTGCCTTGCAACATTTTACCAAATGTACTCCAACACGTTCTGATAAGTTTTCAAGTTAAATTGTATTTGTTGGACCTTGAGGAAATATTTTTGTCAACCATGTAAATCACTTCGGGAAATTGTAATACGTTACCTTTTCGTAATGCAAAGTATTGCTTTTTTGTTAGGATCTGTCTTTTGTTTATACAAGGAACCATATAAACAAACTGGCTGGTATTTACACAACGAAGTTAAAGATTATAACTCGACCAAGCGAAGAATGAAGGTCATTGCATACAGTTACTTTTGCTAACAAAAGTCGCGAGGACCATGAAGCGAATAGTTTATCGGTATAGCTTTGGGAAATTTGAGTTCTCGTCGAGGTGTGACACTTCACAGGCTGAGAAGCCTGCAATGTAGTTAAGCCTGCAATGTAGTTTAATTTTGTGTTAGCGAAAATGGAAGTGAAAGAAACATGTTTCAAGTGTCACTTTGTATTTAAAACGTTATGACATTGGAAGCAGTTGATAAAATAATAGAAGATTGGAAAAAGATATTTCTCATACCAATAAAAGAGCAAACGAATACTAGGAGAGCAATGCTTTGCTTGAAGACACTGTTGTTGACTTTGTAAATAGGGTCGGTTCAGAAGGTCGCAGTGAATAATCTAGTGACATGGACACTATCTCAGATACCAGTCAGGAAACTGCGAGACTCAGTCATCAGAAACTGTTACCAGAGATATAACCTCACAGGCACATTATGCAAGATTTGAACTTTCTATTATATTTTTGTCACATTAAGTAGCATTTTTTTATTTTTCCCCTTATATTACTAGAATATTATAAAAAATATTTCTATTTATATCGATTTTTGATTCCATTTTCGTTGAATTTAAATATATTTTTAAGTCAGACGCTATGCAATTTGTTAGGTATGCACCAAAGTACCAAAATTTTACTGCCATTAGTATTTACAGTATTCTTTATTATGGTAGTAGTTGTTTTTTATGTACAAAATAATTTTCTTTAGTATATATTTTTAGAAACCACTTTAGTTAAATTAAAACGATTTTTACGTATGTTACAGTACCTATTTTTTTCTAATTGAAGAAATTCGACCAAAAGTTTGATTCATTCTGCAAAGAAAAGTAAACTTTTATTTACTCCAATATGGGGTGCAAAATGTCCAAATACAGTTAAAATATACATTGGAAAAACAGTAGATTTGTGGTGAAATAAATCGTGATTTTTTCCCGCAACGGGCACAGTCCCTGTTTACTTTTCGGTATATATGTGTATATACGTAGTATAAGAAAAGTTACGTAATTCTACGCAAAAAAACGGCGGATTTTCGACAGAAAATAATCATTGCCGGGCCCTGATAACAAAAATATTGATAAATCCAATTTCTAAATTAAGAAACAAATCCTCTAGCATATGGTGTAGCCAGAATCCCTGTTTTGTGGGCCATTGATATCGAAAAACCAATTCACGGGAAAACGTCAGTCTGTCTATCTGTCCGTCTGTGAACACCACTTTCGACTAAACCAGTACGTATTTTTCCAAATTAAAGAGCCACTGACCATTTGGCTCGAGTCCATACTTTTAGATTTTGAAAAACATTCTTTAAATTTTATGGTACGTGCAAGAAGCCGTGCTAACATTTTCAAAATGTACTCAAAAACGGCTCCAA